GCTGGCAGGGGGGATGCCGTGGGTTGGGGGCGAGGGGGCTGTGGGTGCGTGGACAAGGCCCGTGCCCGCTGGTGGGGGGCTGCCAGGGTGTCCCCACCTGCCCAGCAAGCACAGATAGATGGGTGCGACGTCTCGGGTGGGTGAGCGTGTGGGCTGCGATCTGCCTGAGAGAAGAACATTTTTACAGCAGTGGGTGGCTGTGTGTGCAAAGGCTGCCCAGCGCTGCGAGGCCCGTGGGGGGCTGTTGTGCACACCCTGCCCATCCTGGGGTGTCCCAACCCCACAGGACATGTCCCTGGCAATGACATCCCCCCCCCAGTGCGACGTCTCGGGTGGGTGAGCGTGTGGGCTGCGATCTGCCTGCGAGAGAGAAGAACATTTTTACAGCAGTGGGTGGCTGTGTGTGCAAAGGCTGCCCAGCGCTGCGAGGAGCCCGTGGGGCTGTTGTGCACACCCTGCCCATCCTGGGGTGTCCCAACCCCACAGGACATGTCCCTGGCAATGACATCCCCCCCCCAAGGATGAAGCAGGGCCATGGCCCCCGAGCTGAGCCCTACATAGGGGGTATCAAGCAGCCCCCCCTGCCCCAGGGCGCATGGGTGCACACAGGGGGAGATGGGGACGTCTCCCATCCTACTCTGGTGGGGGGAGCAGCGCTGCCCCCCCCCATCCATGTCAGCTCCCCCTCCCCAAACCACCCCCACGTTTCCAAAGCAACAGTGTGCAGAGGGGTGAGCAGCGCTGAGCCCTGCGGGAGGCGAGGGGGGCGGATGAGCCAGATATCACCAGCCATGTGGCTGCTGGGGTGGGCCTGTGCAGACCCCTAAACCCTGGGGAGCAGCAGGTCCCCCCACACCCTCCCCAGGGCTGGGATGCTCACCAGACCCCGGGATCCCACCCGATTGAAACCCAGATCAGCAAGGGGGGGCTGCACCTGCTGCTTTGCCATTCCTGCACCCCTGAGGACGGCCACAGCTGGAAATCGCTCTGTGGCTTGGCAGGACCTGGGCTTGTTGGGGCAGGGATATCCCAGCAGCTGGCTCTGTCCCCTCTGCCCAGGGCTGTGTCCCCCCATCATCCATGGGGACACCAGGGCAGGGAGCACAGCAAGCTCCCCATCCCATCCCACCCCATCCTGTCCCCCACAGCCCCAGACGCAAGCCTGGGCTGTTGGAGGACAGCCACCATTGGGGCTGGCTCACCCCTGGGGACAATATAATGTCCCAGTGGGGGGCTGCCAGCTTGATTGGCCGCATCCTGCCTCTCCCCTCAGCAGCAGCCGTGCCAGGCCCCTCTGTGCAGCCCCCCCTCCTCTCCATGCATTAAAAGCCCAGCAGCCCTTCTCCAGCCAGCGCACCAGCCCACGGGAGCAGAACGGGGCTCTCCCACGCTGAGGAGGAGGGGAAAGGGGGTACGTCCATGCTGCCTTCTTTCTGCTCCTCCAGCGCTGAGCAGAGCCCCGCTGGGCTGGGGTGAGCTGCAGGGCTGGGAGGGTCGGGGGCTGGCAATGTGTGCGGGGGGCTCACTGCACTTGTAAAGGTTTGATCTGTGGGAAACGGGCAGAAATTAGGGAGCAGCATCCTCAGTCTGGGGTGCAAAAACTCCGGGTTGGGTCATTGCTTTTGCATTTGGTTTGGGAGAGATGCGTGGGAGGCTGCTGGGTGCCAGGCCCCTCCACCTGCTCTGCTGTGGGTGCACACGTGGGCGTGCAGCCTGCTGGGTGGGTGATGCTGCAGCACAGGGTGCACGGTGGGTACTGGGGACCCATGTGCAGGGACCAACTTCAGGTGGGAGCGAGCTCCCTTTAGGAATGGACCCCGGTGGGTTTGGATGGGGGGCTGCCAGGCGCACCCTGCCCGGGCTGCAGAGCTGGGGGTGTCCCCGTGCAGGCAGCCCCTGTGCTCAGGGTCGAGTCACAGGTACCCTGTGGCCTCCGGTCCCCCCGGCACTGGCTTGCCCAGGATGCTGGAGGCTGAGAAACAGCATCTCAGGGCTTTGGACCTGGCTGTAGGAGCAAGGGGGACCAAAGGGGAGAGCAGCAGAGTGCCAGGACTCCTGGGGTCATTTCTGCTTGGCTGCTGGATTTATTGGGCCAGCAACCAGCTTCACCCACCGCCTTGAGGGGCTGGAGCAGGACCCCGACCCCCTTATCACCTCCCGGCCCCCTCACTTACCTCCTCGGGGCTGGGAAAGCCGGGAAGCGAGGGCAGCCCGGCACGGCCACGGGGCCTCTCCTGCACAGCCGCCCAGCCGAGCGTGAAATGGGCTGAAAAGAAAAGGGATGGCGTAATGTTCCCGGGGCCGGGGGCAGAGGCTGTTCGTCCCCCGCAGTGGCTGCAGTCCCCACCACGGCTGCAGAGCGGGGCTGGGTGCGGGCGGGGGGGCCGTGCCGGCCCTCCCCCC